AAATGCATGTCGACGATTTCGAGAGGCATGAATGTACTGTAAATAGCAGCGAATTAGCCGGACACGCCCGCGCGGCACAGCGATCTAAGCACAGCTTCTTAACTACTACCGTGCCGTGAGAACCCCTAAGTGTGTCCACACTGTTTGGGGAACAAGAACCCCACACAATGATGTGAAAAAGAAACAAAATTGGGATTTTTGGTGTCCATTGTGTTTGACCTTCTGGAAAAAAAAAGTGATGCAATCACCAACTCCCAAAAGCCAAACGATATAAGTGCTTTTGGTGTTGCTTCAAACTTGCAAAGACCAAATCAAAATGAAGGAAACCACAAAAAGAAACGAAAAAAACAAAAGTTCAATGACAATATTAAAACATCGTTCAAGCCAAAACCAAAGATTACCCACAGGAATTTGTTGTGTTTTTTGGTGTTGTTTCTGGTTGTGGTTCTAAGTTCAACCTATTATTGTTGCATATGTACACAAATAACTTTAACGACTAATGACAGCAGTTGTTTTTATGTCTGTGTGTTCAGGTTTGCGTGGGTCAAGTAGAACTAGCATTGGTCTTTTCCATGAATCCAGTGGCTGCAAGAATGCTTTGTCATTCAATCTTTTGGAATGACGTTCTGATATTCTTTTGGTTCAAACCTTTGCACATGGGTGTCACTGGATGGGTTGCAAGAGCACTGGAAAGCCTTTTTGACAGACCTCAATCCAGAAGATCCTCGAAGTGCTGTGCTCAAGTGCATGGGTTTCCAGAAGCGTGTTTCATGGGATGCCCAGCCAGCTGCAGGACGAATTTTATGTCAAGATAGCAAGCTGGAAGGCCGGGTCCTGCGTCTAACCATTGTGTGAGGACGAAGTTGGGCGATGCTGGAAGTAACGGCAGAACAGACATGGACAGGAAGTCTCCAGCGCCATGGATGTCTTTCTGTGCTGAGGCCGGAGGGAAGCTCAGCAGAAAGAGAAAGGGTTGCGCAGAGGTCAATTCTATGCAACTCAACATTAGTATTTGACTAAACTCATAATTTTTGTTGTGGATTGGACATTTGATTCTAATACCTGATTGTCCATAGTTTTCGCTGATTGGCAGAATTCATCGTGGATTCACCACCACCTGGCGAAAGGGGACCACATCTTACTTGGAAAAGAAGGAACTGCCAGGTTCAGTGGGATTTGTGGTGCTTCAACAGCTTCAACACATGAAAAAACTCTTCCGAATGAGGCGTTGGACCACTTTCGTCGGTGAACCTGGGCTCAATGGACATGGAACAATCATCCTCTATCCGTTTCTCACCGTTCTATGGCTCAATGGGCATGAGCCACCAATCAGATCGCAAAGACTGAGGTCCGAAAATCTCTTCCCACTTCGGTTTCTCTCCTTATCGGTGTCTGCTCCCGGCATCAACGTCCAAACCCAAATGCCGCATAGTTCAACATGATCATTTCTTTCGCTTCGATTTCCTCCTTCGCTCCACAGAATTGTTCAAACCTTTGGAACCGGATTTGGAGCTTCAGTTTCGCCACATGAAGGGGCGGAACTGGGATTGAACGAACGAAGGCACGCCCGATCAACAGGTCCTGTCAAGACAACTACCATCAAAGCCCAAACCATGAGAAATCTTCATGAAAGAGTAAGGAGTTGTCGCTCGAAAGCAATTAAGGATTTGAAATGTCTACATAGGCTTCATGACGAGTGCAAGGCCCAAACCATCTTTGATTAACAAGAATTAAAAAAAATCTGAGGTGGTGCTACTTTGACCTCCTTTCTCTAAATGTCTATTCTCTCCGGTGCCCTTATGTATTTCTTCAAAGCAAGCATCAAAACGCAGTGCCTGCACACCAAGCTCGTTCTCGAATGCACGCAAAGGCGAAGCG